CCAACATTTACATACCAAACTCAAATTTAGTGGCAGGATTTTCAAATGCACCCAGTAGAAACAGACATACATATCCTGGATTGTTTTAAAATTTCCCTTTTACAAGCCTAACTTCTGACATGCATTTAAGGACATACTGACAATGTTGTCCTTCCATCACACCAATCCCTCCTCCTTTTGTCACCAAATACTCCTTTCAGGAGTACAGACTATTTGAGCATAGATGGTCTCATCTAAAACTGAGTTGAGGAATCTGTGATGATGCTCTCCTGGAGCCATGTCCACAAATTGGGGAGACTCCTTTAGATTTAAGAATAACTTTATACATGCAAAATTTCCATAACAGATTTTAAAAACAGTTTAACAATCTACCCTTCCCACCCCTCTGTTCCCCAAAGGCAGCAAAAAGTCTGAAGACAGAACTGAAACATGGCTTTAAAAAACAGCCCACAGACATTAGGTTTCGCTTCCCAGAAACCAACTTCCAGCATGGGATTCGCAGGAAGAGACCCTCCTTTCTGTGGCTAAGGGGGAAGGTGAGGCACATGGAAGAAAGAAGGGGTAAGGGGTGTCAGACTGCATTCAGTTCAAGAACACACACACACTCACACACATACACACGCACACACACACAATTACATTCCAGTGCATTTGATGTGTTTGGTCTTTTCTGCTTTTCCTGGTGGAGAAGAGCTGAGCTGTGTAACACCTGTGTGAACACATGCAAACCAAAGAAACAGAGACCACTGAAGTCTTTAGGAACTGTAAAAGATTGTCCTAGGATCTTTTATCAATTCCTTGAGGTATTTCTTCTTGCTAAAACAATCAAAGGCAACAGGTAGGCAAATGATCACAAATGCCAGTTTGAAAGACAGACTCTTTTGAAGGACATTATTAAAACCTTTGTTGTCAAATTATGCTAATACTCAACAGTGCTCGGTTCATGGGCAGACCTCCCATTAATATGAACCAGCATTCCATTATTTTATTTATGATCCCACAGTAAATACTGCTGGTAAAACAAGGCAAGACCTCCACAAATTTGCATTCTTGTTTGATTCTAGCACATACACGGAGTGCTTTCCCTATTTTTCCCTTTAAAAATACCCTCAATATCACACCATTCAGCATGTCACAGTCTCACCATTCCCACAGCTTCAGCAGAGATATGGGTCAGGACCAGCAGTAGAAGGGTGGAATTCATTGAACAGTTGCTAGGGTCACATTGTAATAACTGCCTCAAGTAATTTTGCTTTTTCTTAAAAAAAACCCAAAAAAAAAAAGAAACAAAACCAATAAACCAGTCTTCCTAGTCTACTAATGGTCAGGATCTGCTGTTTCCCAGAAGAGTGCCACACCAAATGAAGTTCCACCTTGGGTACAGGTCTGGTGACTGCTATGGAGCAACTCCAGGACTGTAGTAACTTCACATACACACATTGCCTATACCTTTAATCCAGGCTTGAGGGGACAAAATAAACAGCCAGTAGAAAGAAAGAAAGATGTCTTTGCAATCACACTTCCTATGCCAAGGAAGACTGAGTTCCTCACCTCTATTTCTTTGCTGACACACAGCTCCAAAACAAAGGCTGACAAGGAAGTTTCTTTCAGGACTCCTCAAACAAGAGTTCAGCCAACAAATATTTAGTAACAACCTATTTAAACTGAAATATGTGATCAGTTATGCAGGAATTCAATGCTACCAGGGATCATCAGCACCTTGAGAAAAGGCTGCAGCTGTATACAGATCCAGCAGCAGCACTTTCCATGCAATTTCATCCTCTCCTGCCTTTTTTGTATCCTATTTGCAGCAGTTTGCAGCTATCCCTGGGCAGTCACTTTGTGATTACTGGCTCAGCTTTCAAGAATTGCAGGAAACAAAAGTAAAGCTAACTATTCGCTACTAGCACCAGGCTTGCTGGATCCTAGGATGGGCAGGTTACAAGATAATCAAAAGAGTAGGAAGCTGGGAAGGGATAGGAAGAACTCCATCCCTCAAGTAAGGACAGTTGAGTTCTGAAGCCATTTTGGAGATCTGGAGAAGGCAAGTAAGATATTTAAAGGTTGCTGGCACCATCAGCAGCAGCTCAAGGTTTTCTTAAGAGCTGCTCATTAAAAACAGGAATTTGTTTTATGAGAAAGATCCAACTCTTCTTTCTAAATTGTTAGACTCTAGTTTTACAGCACAGAGAGAAAGCGTCCCATTCTTTACACCAGAACAAACTCATATCTAAAAACCTGAGCATAATCCTTCAGCACAGGATTTAAACCATGTTCTTTGAAACCATTTCTCAAAAAAATCGACAAATGTCACTGGCAACGCTGCAGTATCTACTCTGCAGGGGAGATCTCCCCAGCAGGTGTTCAAGGGGCCTTACAAACACAGAATGGGTGACACATACATGAGTGCTGTGCATGTGTTTGTTGATGAATGTGTGAAACCTTCCCACTATTTCCCCAAGTAGGTGAGACTTTAAGTATGAAGTAGTTGCTTTTCCCTAAGCGAATAACCAGCCTGTCCCTCCAAATCTACGTGAAGCAAAGTAAGACTTTTGGGTTGACAGAGCATATTTCCTTTCTCTGAGATACGCAGATATGGAATATAATTAAAATATATTATCAGTGGTTGTAAATCTCTGGCACCAGTAACCAACACACAGATTGCAGGAAGTCGGCCTTTGTCTAGCATTAGCTCTATGTCTCCAATGAAGTATTGTTGTTCAAGGAGGTTTTGAGACCCTGGCATGACCAATTTTGATAAGTCTGTTGTTGCAGTGGGAAATACGGACTGGCAAAGATGTGTCTTTCCCTGAGCCAAATGACTTTACTGAGGCCAGCAGCCTGACTGAGGAACCATTTCAGGTACTTGTTTCTCCATGTAAGAAGACTCTTGTCCTAGATAAACTGGTCGGGTCTTAACACTAAAAGTGGCAGTACCAGACTTATCTTTCCAGCTTATGCATCCAGAAAACAGGCCTTACTGGCCTGTTTGGCCATCAAGTCAAGGCAGAGGGAAAGGGGAAAGCTCACAATGATTTTTAAATGTCAGAAGCAGTTGCTGATTTTTTCACAGTTTGCAGGGCTGTTATGATGTAACATTGACTGTTCTTGATAAAAGGGTCCTGGCAAAGAGAGGCAAATGCAAGCATCACATCCATGGCATGCCACATGGGGAGGCATCATTGCTGCCTTGCTTCCTGAGCCTCCACACTTCCACTTCTGCCTCTTAAAAAGCTTCTTATTTAAGAGTCTTCTCGTTAACATTTGGCTTCTCAGGAGTCCCCAGCTCAATCTGTGCTTGCACTACACCTCAGTCTTTCCCCACCATTTAAGTCCTCTTTCTCCAATGACCAGCGTTTACATCAAGCAGACTGTGCAAAGCAAAGTATGGAAAGCCTTGTCTCTGCCAGCATGGGCAGAGAGCAGCTTCCACCCTGCTGCAGCAGTCAGCTATCACTTAGATCACTCTGGGTAACTCTGTAGTGCACATGCTTAAAGGAACAACACAAAACCAAAAACAATTCCCCTTCCTAAAACAAACCTCCCACCCTCCCTCTCCATAAAACCCACCCCCAAAAATATTACTTGAGATTCATTTATATGAATTAACCATCATGGACAAACATATTACTCTAGCTCTAGCTAGAAAAATAACACAAAAGGAGAGAAAAAAAAGCTTTTCTCACATAAACTCTCTCCTTATGTTAGAAGAGAGTGACTGTGAATATATGAGGGTGAAAAAGGCTTGGGAACCTCTTTCAGGGAGCTAAAGTACATCTTGCCACAGTAGAGGCTGGATGAAAAAGAGAATGGGGCTGAGAGAAAGCAAGAAGGTCCAAATTTAACTCTGTACAGCAAACTGTTACCAGACACTACAGTGCAACGATGAGATTACACAAATACCAGAGAAAGCAGGAATTAGAGACAAATATGCAAAGAGGAGTGGAGAAGGAAAGCATATGTGCAAGTAAACGACTCTTCCGTACAGTAATGAATATTTTTCAGAGTGGATCAAGAGCAGAAGAATTTCTCAACACCTGGAGCTGGACATTTCTAACACAACTGAAGAACAATTCTCTGGACAGCTCTTCCTCAACCTGGTTGTATCATTTGAGACCTACAAAAAGGTGCAGTGGCAATATGGAAATTTTCAGAAAAAAATAATAAGGTCTGTATTGCTTCTCTGTTCATGTTTTACCCTAGCTGTCACTGGGTCTGTGAACTAAGTATATTTAAGGCTACAGAGAAGCTGCCATCAATATTTAAGGCTACTTCCTTTTGGTAGGGTAGTTTCCCTGTGCTGGTCCAATAGTGTCAGCCATATGGACAAACTTCTGAGTGCATACAAACTGACAGAAGATCTCCCTTGAAATAACATTACTGCTGCTAGTCAGTATATGCTTACAGCAGCCTCCAAACACTACACACTAGAGTAATGGACAGACTGCTTGTACAGTGTACATATCAGACTAGATGCTAATTAATTTCCCTGTCAAATCCTGAAGCAAAATTATCAGATGCCTGGGATCTAAACCTTCGTGACCAACCACATTATGTAGTAAGAGAAAAGAAAACCAAAATAAAATAAACATCCATCATAAAACTACTAAAAACATATACATTAGCATTGTAGAAGGATGACACTTGTGCCATATTCCATGAATTCTGGCTTCCTGCTGGCTCATGGGCACTGAGAACACTGAACTGAAGGCAGGCAGTGGCAGAAGCTAATAGCCACCAGCACCCCCAAGGAGGTTTCTTTTTCAGACCCTTCTACTGATTTATTTTTTTTTAATTGATGGCAATGAAAAAGAACAACTTCTTGTGAGAGAGCTGCAAGTGGTGCCCAATGGAATGGCTGAAGAGGTCAGATTTCTTTGTGGTTTTCTCTCACACAGGGTGCAATGAAATGAACAGTAACCAATGAATAAAACAAGTAACTTGATGGAACCTATCAACCTATCTATTCAAGATACTTGAATGCTTTTCTTTGCTAAAAATGTGGAGGAATTGAGCATCTCTGCTCTAAAAGATACCCCAAGTATGTTTAGTCATCAATCCCAGGCATCACTTTCAACTAGCAGCCAAAATGACACTCCTGCACTCTACCATCCACTACTACCCAGGGCAGAGGAAGCCTTCAGTCTAATACCTGCCTCCCTTGCACAGAGGTCACCGGTGCGGGGAGCCAGCAGCAAGCTTTACCAAACACACCCACATTCTGGCTTTCCTTCAACAGTGTTGGACAAGAGCTCCCCGCCTCGCGAGGCAGGCAGCAGCAAAGAAGAGTCCGTAAAAACACCCAAACTTGAAGACGAGGATCAGAAAGTCAGAGTCCTCACATCCGGCCGGCGGTGTGCAATGTCTCGCCCCCGAACCAGTGTTTGTTCAGTGCTCCCTGCAGACTGGATGTGGCCTGAAACAGGCGGGCGAAGCTCACCTCTGCCCAGTGTGGTTCCTGTTCACCTCCGTGTTTAAGGCCAAGTTGTGTAGGAAGAGAAAGAGCTGCCACCACACTTGATTTCTGTTCTGCTGATGCTGTAGAGAAGAACAGTTAAAGCAAGGTTATTTATATTTCTAAAATTGCAACATACCACTTCTCTTTTCCAATAACAACTCAGTTACACTTTTCAAGAGCAGACACTTTAATCCCATCAGCATAACAAGGGGGTGCAGCAAGGGATGAGGGGAGAGAGGGAAATGATAAGTTCTCCAGAAATAATTGTAGCTCTAACATTACAAAAAGAAAAGAGCAGACCCTTTATGCATTGTGCACAAGAGGATTAAACTTTTTTTTTTGCTTGTAGGATTTCGCAGAGTTTAGCCAAGTGCTGTTTTTAATCAGATTGGCTTCTGAGCCTTTCAAAAGCCCCAGCTGCATGAACAAACAACCTTTTTTTTTAAAAAAAAAAAAAAGCCCCCCTTCACCCCGAAAGTAAAAAAAAGAAAAAATATAACTGGTGATCCATCTGTAAGTGATTTGACACCGTGAAGGTCAAAGGGTTAATCTTCAATTTAAACCACACTGCTGAGACAGCAAAACTCTGATTTCATCTAGTACAAGAAAACACATTCGTGCACACACACACTCCCCCACCCTCCCCCCACCACATTTTCCTTCCCAGCATCTCCAAGATAATACTGCCCTTTTTATAGCCACTTTTGACAGTAAGCCATAAATAATCAGCCTTGGAGCCCTTTCCTACTGACTGGAGCCAATTAAACCTTAAGCAAGAACATACTTGAAAACACACAAAAAACCAAAACCAAGAGGTTATTTCAGGTCCCATTGTCAAGGAAGAAACATGGGAGTTGAGTTTCAGGGGGACACCAGACTACATAATACAGCTTTGGGACAAGGACGCTGTTCCTCCTTTTGTTATATGTAATCACCCCTGCAAAAGTGGCTCCGATTATACCCCCACCTTCCTGCACTTTAATGGCATCTCATACAAACAGGTGGGTTTCTCCTTACATTGCCCAGTCTAGGATACTATTTCACCTCAATAACCAACTCTCTATTAGAAGTCAGTCTTCATTTTCTCATCCAGAATTCCATATTTGCTAAGCAGGCATGATCATTTCTGGAAAACAAAACAAACCAGCCCAAATCTCCGCCCCCTACCCCCCTCCCCAATCCCCAGCAGACAAGGAAACAGAAGATTGGCTTCCCACAACTTTGCTTCAGTACACAGGAGTTCATAAAAGAGCACTGAAGCACATTATATGAACAAGATGTTTCAACTCAGATTAGCCCAACAGGGCAGAACAACACAGTTGCAAGGCATTTTTTACATAATCACAAATAAGAGAGTTGCAACTGGAGTTGGTGTATGGGAGATGTGTCAACAGACAGCTCTTCAAAGCCCTTCCAGATAGCCATTAAATTATGTTTGTATTTCAGTGTGAGTAGATCTGTGCCATTTGAATCACAAGCACACACAAAACATGCTTCCAGAAAAACCTGTGTTCATCTTGCATCTTAGCAATGGGCCATTATTCCTGCCCTCAAGACTTAATAATAAGAAGAAATGGATTTGGAAAAGTTCACACAGATCCCACCACACATTTCAAGAGCACTGTGTTTGTAGCATAACCTGTAAGCAGTGGCTCTAGAGCCTTTTATTATTTATTTCAAAGTAACTAGTCCTGGGTTCAGTCCTTACTGATTGCACAGGCATTGCTAGGTTTACAGGTGAAAACAATCTTTTATAAAGTGTTCTGTAGGACTGGGTTAAAAACCACTAATTTGGTCTGAAAAAGCAAAAGCAAAGTTTTTGATTTTTTACTCGAATCTCAGTTTGACCAGGTTTGTCCTTCCTCATCAAACTCCGGTGATACTTAGCACCCTCCTCCATACAGCCATACTCCTAAAACTGCTCAAATTGCACAGGGAACCACAACGTCCCTGTGACATCTAGATACCACGTTTTTAGCAAGCTATTACAGCTCAGGCAGATTCCTTAAACAGAGTTCTTTGAGTAAGACCTCAATGAAGTGGCATGCAAGAACAAAGTGGTCATCTGCAGCTTCCACAAGCAAGGAACTATGCTAGGAGAACATAGTGGACAAACATATTGCAGATGCTCTGAAGAAATCTGCTTTGTTAGATTATTTTATTCTATTGGCAGCCAAGAGGGTAAAAACTTGTCTTATAGAGATCTAGTAAGGGAAAGGCAAAAGGATGTTTAAAACTTGGCACAGAAATCCTAAGCTTGAAATACATCTCAGCTTCATTGGTGGACCCTCCCTAATGGAAACTCTCATGGAATTTTTATAAAGTGGGTTAATTTGTGGGCACACAAGAGGAGTCCTGATTTGGCATGTACAGTTTTACTATTTCACACTGTTGGGAGCATAAACACATGTAAGAACCCCCATGTTGATGTCCTCCTTCATGCAGGAAGCTGCTTTGTGCACCTCATACAATAACAGATTTCTAATTATTCTGGCTCCTCAAGTTTTATACCTCACCTGGGGAGAAAAGGATTACCTGTTCTTTCCAGTGATAGGTAAAAGAGGCCATGTTCTGAAAAAAACAGTGGAAGGACCGAGACTGAGCTCATATGCCTTTTTTTTTTTTAAGGGGGTACTTTTTGAGGAAGGTATTAAGTTTAGGTTTTATCTGGTAAATAGAGTTTTAGAACTGTTCTTTATGATGGTTTACAGGCCTGCAAGAGAATCAGTGGGATGTGATTAGACTAATACTGAGAAAAAGTAATATGCATTTACTTTATATTCTACTGTGTTTATTTCACTGCCTCTTGAAGTCACTTTTTGGTACAGCATTTTTGTCCTTTTCCAATTAAAATTGTTTCCTGTATTTGCCTAATACACTTAAGGAGATTTCCATGCAAGAGCAGAATAGGAAATATTTTACTCTTGGTTTTCCTTGCTTATAAGAAGCACAACATCTCACATAACTTTTTTAAGAATGTTGACACCATTTTGTTTTGAAGTAAAAAATAGAGCACTACTTTGAGGGCAGCTTTCCAGGTTTTATTCCTAGACCTAGGGCTTGCTTGTATTTCCCTAGGTCTGTATTCAGCCAGCATTTTCTTCCATGGTGATGTGGTCCCACACACACTTTCACTGGCCCACATACTGGAGCAGCTCACTCACGATGTCCTGTCTCCATAGCAGTGCTGGAAAGTGAACTAGAGCAGCAAATGACCAAGGCCAGAACTAATCTGATAAAGAAGTTGCCCTTCGTGTTTAACAGATCATCCTAAACTATCTGATCCATGGCATGGTGTACTCAGGCTGATGCTTGTTCCAGGACAACAGAAAAATGATGACCTGTGAAGAGGAGCAAGCTGGGACTAAGTGCTTCAGCAGCAAGCTCAGCTAATGGGGTTTGGAGCTATAGCTTCACTTCTGGGTTGATCTGCTTTCTGTGGTACTAATTCAGCATGGGACAAGAGCCACAGAACGGAATGGCAAATATTATTTGCAGTAAACAATTTATGGAAATAACAAAAAAATGCCCTTTTCACAAGTTTCCGTGTCTTTTCCCCCAGATATGCTTCAGCCAAGACCAAAATTCTTAAAGATTTCAAGACTGAGGAGTTTTTGGTGTGCAATAATTTAGCTTTCAGGATGGACAGAAAACCCAGAAGAGTGATTCCATGAAATTGGCATACATATATATATTTTTTTTAATGTGATATGTTTTGTGACATTTTTCTAAGATTCATAACTATTGTGACAGTGGTGTATCATTTCCCTAAGCTTCACAAGGCTGATTTGCCCTTTATCAAAATAACTCAATCCTCAGAGTCACTACTGCACAAAAATACCAGGGATGAACACTTTGCCACCTCCATGTGGGAGCAACAAAATGACCCTTTTGAGGCTTCCTTCCCAAGAAGGAAAGAAGCCCCTTTTGCCCTCTACACTAACTGTAATTAAAGAAGAGTAGACTTGTGAATACAGTAAGTCAACACAAAGTTGGAAACACATAAAACCGTTTCCTATTGCAGCTGCTGCTTTTTAAAGGGGATATCCTTAAGAGACTGTCTGAAACGTAAGCATGAATGCTTCAATGAGTCACAAGAAAAGGCCATTTTACAGGAAAAGTGTTCTCTGCAACAGTACATTAGTGAAGCCTCTTCCATGAACTGTGCTGAACCAAAAGCCAGACTACTTGTAAACAAACACACACAAAAAAAAAAGCAAGACTTTTACTGGAAACAAATGAAAGAGGAACACGACTGACCCGACACTTAGTCCTTGCCCATAATTAATTCCTAATACATGTTTCACACTGTAAGCATACAGATACATATCTGGCAAATAGCACCCCAGACGTCGAAACCTTTTGTACTCCTACCAAGCCCTTGCACAGGGTGATCAAAGGGAAGATCAGGACAGGTGATGCACTTCAAAGAAAATGCTGTCCTTTTGACACAGCTGCTTGAATCCAGGAGCATACATGTTTAACAGATTAATAAGACTCATTTTTACACTTGATATACACATGCCATTAACATCCCTGTTTAAAAAAGTAAATATGCTTGTCATATGCACACATGTTGTATGTGTGTCTGTCTGATACACTCCATCTACCCGCTTGATCTCATGGGCAGATTCTGACTTTGCTTCCTAGCTTCCAGACAATTAAGGGTCATATTCTATCCCAGTTTAACTAGAAGGATTAATATGGCTGTAAATGGTGCTGTGAGAGCAAAAGAAGAATAATGGCATATGTGTACATAAAAACATTATTCTTCCTTTAATGACTAATACAAGTATTAGCAACAAGTTGTTGGGATTGTATTTATTCACTGAATACAAAAATACTTGCACACTGGGAGCAGCTGCTGACTCATCGCTGAAGGCTGTTTTGGCTGCCAGGTGGCTGGAGGCATATTGTGCTACCACAAAATATGCTTTAGCTTAGAAAGACTAGAAAGTCACAGTCCCCAAGGCAACAGAGGTTTCAGAAGGTGTCCCCTACTGGAGAGAGAAATGCAGGCCATTGGAAGTCAAATACAAATCTTTCCAGCTGTGATTCCTAATGACCAAAGTATAATGCA